AATATATAATATTTAAAAAAACAATTTTAATATGCTTATATATTTTTATTTTTATTTGAAAAAACAAATTTTTAACGCAATCACGTGTGCATGACTTTATTTTCCATTTTTTGCCGACATTATTATTATTATTAATGGCTTTATTCAATATTATATTTTGGTACAATATAGAATTCTCAGCACATTGTGTTTTTACGCACATACGAGTGTATTTCGACATGCACTTATTTTTTCTTTTTTCTTTTCCAGGATGGCTAGAAAAAAACAATGAAGTTTACGGGGAGCCGAAATTTCGATTGTACATTATTTTCCTACTATATTGTATTTCATGGTCCCTAATAGTAAGGAAAGACAACCAGACGCTGCTAAACCTAGTAAGCTATCAGAAGGGTGTGTACCAACGACAAAACACTTTGGGTTTGAACTTCTGGCTGGCCACGTCTTAGGGTCATCATTACTCCACTAGTAGGGGAGTGATCTGTAGCGGTAAATAAATCCCCAAAATAAATAGCTCTGTAAGTTTTTGACATTGGATGCTGACCACATGTTTTAGTGGACTCACCTAGCTGAAGGCGCTCGGTCATGCATCCGTGTGGGAACGCCGTGCTCAACTGCTACTGCAATCGCTAGCCAGATTAGATCAGAGAATTCCGATATATTGGTTATCGCCAAATACACTCTTCCGATCTCCTCGATTCTGTCTTTTGATTTTTCTTGGTGGGTACGAGTTATATTAGGTGTTACTGGTGAAAGCGTTGTCAAACACTGAATACCTGTGCCATCTTCAATGTTAAGTTGCTAAATCAATCATTAATATAAATGGCTATCCTCTGAAATTCATAAATAGATGGAAAGTCCATGGTACAGTGAGACCTATTGTAACCTCGGTAGAGAAAAAGCCTGTCTACATCACCTTATCAGTCACAGATGATTCAAATAGCCTTTTATTGAAACGAAAACTTAAATCAGTCATCAATAAAACGTATTGTGCAGCAAAGGTCATTAGCAAACAAAGAACCAGGTGCATGCTTCATCCAAAACCTAAAAGACATGAAAACGATTGTGTCCCATTTCACTGTGTTTACCAATTTAAATGTATGTGTGGTCAAACATACATAGGGAGGAACAATTGTGATCTCAACATAAGGGTGTGTAGACATGTACCAAAATGGCTGCAGATACGAATACAATCAAGTGATCCAATAAGGGCAGAAGATAAGCATTCATCATCCTTTATTGCTAAACACATGATTGAAACACGTCATAAAATTGATCTAAGCTCAGCCTTTGCGGTGTTGTACAGAAGTGTAAAAGGGTGTATACTAAGGCTTATTTAGGCCTTAGACATGCGAAAATCCAAACGGTGGAGATTTGTCGCTCAGGTGGATGACTTGGATGGAGTTTCGTTCTTTGAGCTGGAGCTTTCATCGCCCTTTTGAACGACACCATCAGCACAAACTTCAGATAGAAGTGAAGTGTTCAAATTTAATAACAATAATTCACCCTCAAATAACAGTTTGTTACATGAGGCATGCCAGTTTACAGGCAAGATCAAATTGTTACGAATGATACAATATCCACTGTAGTAAATTACTCAGCAGTGTTCATCATTTATAAGATATGAACGTAGATGAACTTAGTCAGTATCACAGTTGACGCGCTTCATGAAAGTTGCGTTTCGAATGTGCAAATGATGGTCTAGGATAGGTCCATTAAAGGGGGGAGCTTCCAGAAATCACAACATTATATCCCTTCGGAATATCTAAGGCTTTAAAGATGGTGCAGGATGAAGTCACCCGTTCCATATCTCAAAGGGGCTGAAAGAAAGAGCAAGTAAAAGAAAGGACGAGAGGTAGAGTAGCTAATATTCATGAAGGAATGTTAAAGAAAATGAGTGTAAACAAGGTATGAGTGGACATACAACTGACAAATGTAAGCTGAGAGTATGGAATTGTGTGATTATAAAATATAGTGCTAAAAACAGTATTGTGATATACATTTGGCTATCTTCCTTTTTTATCGGAGTTTTTGTATCACTATTATTAGTTTTTTAGGCATCATAGGGTCTTGAGTAGGCTTCGTATATTATCGAATTGTCTAGTTTGCTTGTAATAGGATTACCGGGTAGGAATTGAGACCAATTCAACGTCCGTAACACGATTAAATGAGGTAGTTTGCATGATAAATCAGCATTAATATCTTAAGTTCGTGACATCCCACTAGGCCATAAGGAGCCGTAATTGAATAAAATGTTCTGCCCTACAGACATGGGTGAATTGAAGTTATCTATCCACCATCATGTTTGCTGGACAGTAACGCCACCCTTCCTTCTTTTGTAATGTTAGGCTCTCTTACGTTTGTTGTAAGTATGAATACTGCTTTAATCAAAGCCCATAGTTGGAATACACTGTCTCTAGTAGGTCCATGTTACAAGCAAATCAGATAGTTAAAAAGTTTCTTCTATGGGTCAGATGTCCATGTGCGTTTTACAGCTTGTTCTGTACACCTCGATGTTGATTGGTTCCTACTGATCTTAAATTTGTCACTGTTTGCTTCCTTGTTTCCGTTGTGTCTACCATTGGTTTGATTTTTGTTCCTATGTTTGTGCATTACTTTCCTGATTGGCTGATAAACAAGATAGATTTCAATGTGCTTGTTTATTGCTGATTCACCTGAGTGCAAGGTTTCTAAAAATTCTCTAGTGTTTTTGGGATTTCCTCTGTCCAATATTTTCATATTTTTTCAATCGAACTTTTACAATTTGAAAACCTTAAGAAAGAGGTTTCTTTCACCGTTTTGGCGACGCTCGTTTATTTCCATTTCTGCAGCTCTTCTCTTAATACGATCAGCTAGGCTGAGATCCTCACAGACGTATACTCTTGACCCAATCAGATTAAGTGAGTTGCCTAGAATCAGGTTCCTTTCTTCAGCAGTGGCAAATGTAACCTTCAAGAGGCGGTTTTACTTAAGACTTGCTTATTAACGATTCAATATAACTGAGGTCGCGCTCAAATCTAGCCTATGGTTCCTTATCGGAAGACTTGTAGTGACTCACATTTATCACGAGAACACGACTGGTTTAATAAAAACAATTATTATTATAACCAACTGTACCAGTGTTTGTTTTAACGTGCTTTTGTTTGACTGTGCTAATGACAGCTATTTTGTTCTTCCATTCTCTTACTTACACTTCGATTGTAACTTCGCGCGAATTCGGTTACCTTCTGTAACCAAGCTTTTGTCCTGGCACGATCTCGGTATCCTTTCGATGCCACGAGATCGCCAGCAAATATAACTCGACTTGGTCCATTAATTGCCTTCTGATATTTGGCTTCTCGGGGATTTTATGGAGTCATTTGGAACGAGCTTCTTACACCTGATCAAATTGGCACGTGTTTCTTGGTAGCGGTGTTCACAGTTAATCTCAACTCGACGCCACGCTACAATTGGTAATCCCAATTCGAATACAGACTCTTTTGACTTATAAAACAAGACTGACCTCTCAGCGAGGTCTGTCTTGACACGCTGTGGAATTTTAGTTACTGAAACCATCTCTTCCTTGCTTTCCGATTTCATTTCAGCGTTAAACGCAGAGGTTACGTTCTGTTTTCTTATTTTCTTTTTCCTAGGTGTGACTTTGAGTTACTCATCCACCTTATTTTGTTTCTTGATCACTTCCTCTGCACTGCTCAAACTTTTCTATCATATAGTTTGTACTACATTGATATGTAAATCCGGGACTGAACTCGTATATTCACATGCCTCACTACTGTCTATAGGTAGTTTCTTCTCAGCGCGCTTCTTTCTCCGTGTAACAGTGCCTAGATCCATATCCTTATCCGTTTTCCTGATGAGGTCCACCTTTATGGCCTCATTTAAGTTTACAGCCGGGCTCATAATAACTCTCTCAATTTCCTCGAAAGCGGAGTCCAGATCATCTGCTGCTGCCTGTTTCTCGAAGGGCGATTTCTTAGCTATGTTCAGCAGCTTGATCGCCTCTAGCATCTGCAGAAACTTAGAAGAACAACATCTTTGCAAAACCGACGTGATAATAGCTTGCAGCACCATTTACAGGCAGCCGGTGTGAGCCAATCGCACTCAATGTGGGACCAGTTATTGCAGCTATCACATTGAATCCCCTCATTTGCCCGGAAAAAGCATGCTGGTCTACCACAACTATGTTGTAGATGCCACATGTATTCGGGTTTTGACACCGCTTTAACCGGTAACACATTCTAACATGAAGCGTATCCACCAATTGAAATTAAAAGACAGAAGCAGGGAGTTTCGAAGATTTATTTGATAGGCTAAATATCGAGAATCGTCTGATCAAATCTGACTAGTGATTGCAGGGGTTGTTGAGCACGGCGTTCCCACACGTGATCTGGTACAGATGCATGGCCCAGCACATTCAGCTAGGTGAGTCCAATAAAACTAATGTTGTCAACATCCAATGCCGAAAAATTACAGAGCAATTTATTTTGGGGATTTATTTACCGCTACAATGTCTCAAATGAACCATAGAAGTTTTTATGTTTCTGTGTAAAAAAAAGATATCACAAAAAATCAGAGTTCAAAAGTTGCAGAAAGATTTTAACACATATGGATACAAACAATGCTCAAAGATATATTCAACGACGAAGACTAGGTACCAGTGACTAGAGTTTTATATATCTGTACTCGCAAAGTACAGATGACAAATTTCTCTTGGGCAAAAACCGGACTTCTGAGTAATAACTTTATTAAAATAATTAAATTACAGCAAAAACAGTAGTCTTGATGCGTAATTTACCGAACGATTTTATAAAAAGTACTCACTTTTTTAACAGCGCGCTTCAGTGTTGACATCTTCAAAACAAGATTTGACCTACATGGTGTTAGTGGCTGATAGATTTTCAATTTTTGTTATTGAAGGCTAAACCTTTATAAGTTAAGCTGAAATCTAAAATCTCATGCATTCGAAAGCACGGGTCAAAGGCGCATAATTGACGCTCAAGGTCATGGCTCAAATTTACCATGCTTTGAAGTCCATTATTTTAGATTTCTTTGGTCGAGGTAAATCTATTCGTCATTGTATAACACATTCAGTCAAGCCTTTTGCTTTAGCCGCAGACACGGCAGCGTTATACCGTTCACCTTTTTTCGGATCACTTAAATTATGGGAAGACTCAATTTACTTCGCTGTGCCTAAGAAACGTAGGACTGCAGAAGAAAGGCGAATGCGAAAATTTCTTTCTTGTAGGTTTCCATTGTCGTTTTACATGACATTTGTAGTGAGATCTGGAGATTACAAACCTAGAGACGATTTGACACCATGTAAATTCTGTGGTTACCTAAACCCTCGAAACTTTCTATGCAGTAAGTTGTGTGATGAGTTTTTATTTTTCCAGTGCTTCGAAAACCTAATTGTTTTCCTTACCCATATCGTCCACATTAAGACCTTTCGCGTGCTCCCAGTTCTGGGGAAGCCGCTATAGTAAATTTTGGGGAAATAACACAAAAATCCCAAAATTTCACCAGACCTGGGGAAATCCCCAAAATTCCCCTTTAACCTTGGTCGTGGTCATTTGAATTTGGGGATTTCCCCAAAGTTCCCTAAACATATGTGAAGGTCATTTGACTTCGGGAGTTTCCCCAAAATTGGAAGCTCAGGTAGGCTCCTACCTTGGAATCAGTTGAAGGTAAACTATAGGACAGTTCATCAAAAGTTTTGGGAAAATGAAACCAATACACCAAAATTTCCCGAAGCTGGAATCTTTCCCGAAACAACCACTCAATGCACCCGAACTTTTCGTTCACATTAGGAAAATGCTATGAATCGCTAACTGAAAATCCCGGAGTTCTTACTGATTTTGGGTTTTCTCCCAGAATTTGCCCAAAAATCCTTAGAGGTCCATAATTCTTGAAAATTACTTTTACTGACTTTACGGCGAGACTAATATATGGACGGTCCTTGGACAAATCTTAGGTGACCTTGACAATTATTAGACAATCAGAAGACAGTATAAAGTAAAAATATATTATAAGAACCTAATGAATTACAGTGGATATTCTTCTTTGACATGATTTAAAAACGTGTAAGGTTTGATAAAGGTACAGATGTTCTAAAATAATAATGCATACGATATAGGAACTCGTCCATTCGCCCCCATAATAGTCATCTTCTGGAGCCGTTGTACTGTCTTAGAAATTCCTTCAATATCGACCACATGACTTCAGTGTTGTTAGTATGAATGCCGGTAGTAGGGTCGACAGAATGGCGTTTATGCACTGCGACATGATAGACATACCCAAGTGTATGAAGGCATCTATACACTCTCCAATCATCTGTATATACCGTAGTGCCCGGCTGCACGTATTCCTTTATAATTGGTATTATTGTGCTTGCTTGACGGTTTATCGCCCTCTAGAAATGCTTCTTTTGCGTTGAGCGATCATAAATTCCAAGTACCTGTCAAGTACATTTACGAAAGTGCTACTTACCCAATCTTCCTTGATACTACGTCCCTTGTTGTATTTTCGCTGTCGCACTACTGTTCCATCTATTTCCACAATACTTCCTACTCCGAATGATTCGTGTAGACGTCATTTTAAGTGCACATATATCACGACAATACTCACCACTGGACGACTGAAGTTTCAGTAACATCTGCAAACGCCGCATCCGGTGTTACTAGTGACTTTATAATCCAATTTGCAACTATTATCATTTGTCTCAGTCTCAGTCGCGATCGAAAGAAGAACGTCCCCGTTCGAGCAGAGTTTTTTCTCTAACATAAAGAACAACGAAATACAATCTCATCATGATAGTCTGCACACTGTACTGCAGTCATTTGATAACCGCAGTCACAGGTACAGGAACTTCTTAGTAGTCTCATCTCTTGTAGCTTCTGATTGGCTCGTCCATAAATTAGTCTCGCCTAATTTATGGACAAGGTTTTGAAATGGCTAAAAAACCAGTGGTGTTCTTCTAAGCTGAATTGTTTGGTCATGAAGCTCTCATTGTCCTTCTGGATAGCATTCAGAAGAATACTGTTCACTAAAAGCGATTTGGTTAGGGCATATAGCATAAAATGTACATTACTTCGCTTCATATGATGGTCAGTCAACAACGTAGAACTGCGTGCGTACATACATCAGTTCAAATTGCCATACTACATTAGCACAGAAATACAATTGTTAATTCAAATCCCATAGTGGTAGACGTAGCATAAGTATAATCAGCAATCGAGAACATTAGGGTTTAAAGATGTTATTCAAGAAGTGTAATCCAGCGAAATAAATTTAGAAAGGAAATAAGGGACATGAAGAATTCAGAAGATTAGAATTTGAGAGAACACAAACAGTGAATGCACCTGCACCATTGCAAACGATTTTTAGCCATGTCATTCAAGGTCTCTAACCATTTGTCGCTATCGTCTCGTGGATCCGAACCAGATAGTCTACACCTACCAACATGACACAGTCCACTTGTCAGTGATTTCATGAACTTGTGCCATGTTTTGGTCTGGCCGCCCCTAGCTTTCTTCTAACCTACTCCTATACCACTGAACATAGCACGTCAAGGCAGTCGGTGGTTGGGCATACGTAACACGTGTCCCAGCCATCTCAACTGATGAAGTTTCATCACTTCATCAATGGATTTGCCATCCTTACCTTGTACCCGTTCCCTAACGACTGCATTTTTTACTCGATGGTCCCATGATATACGAGCAATACCTCAAGGACGCCTATGATCGAATACTAGTTGTTTATGGATATCCTCTACTCTTACCGGCCATGTTTCACAGCCATAAAGTAGGACGGAACGAACTGCTGCGCAGTAAACCCGTCCTTTGGTTGGTAGACGGATATCTCGCCTACGTCATAAATGACGCGAGTTGGTCAAAGCTAGTCGAGCCTTCTGTATCCGTGCGGACTACAAATGATTTATAACATCAGGATCGGCTTTTATTCACATTCATTAGGTTAGTTTTCTACCACTGTAAAATCTTTACTGAGAGGTAAAAGAATACTATGTTTCTCTCTTCATCCTGTTTTTGACTTAACTTTTTAGCCAACTGTTATAGCAAAGTACGTGAGGAAACTAACTTTTTACGTTCACTTGTCAATGGTCAACTTCCAAGTGATCACGAAGTGAAATTTATTTATAATGATGATAACAGCACTAACGCATCTGTTAGCAATGCAGAAGTCAAAGTTCCTGGTTCTAGACCTTCATGGTTCCCATCTACTCTACAAGAAACAAAGTCTCCAGGTGGTGAGAATTCATAACATTGTTGTACATTAATTCATTATTTCATGCGCTCCTAGATGACAGTTTATAAATACACAATCATACCTCCTATTGTTTTCTTGTTTGTACTGTTGCCTTATACACTATCTAAACATCCTAGTTAGATTTACATTCTTCAATTACCCAGTATTAGTTTCTATGCTTATTGGCACACAATACTGAAGTCAATTGATATTATGGTGATAAAATCACTTAATGATATTTAATTTCTAACTTACATACTTATTTCCGGGCAAAATGCTTTGCTACCTCAATATTCAGAAGCTTATCAATAACATATTACTTCTCGCAAGCAATACTAGTTTCTATTTTTCTCGCGGTATATCCTGATCTGCACTTGATAGTTGTCTGTTGAGATATAGGACGAGATACGCTCTGTGGATCGCGCTGTTAGCCAAAATATTGAACTTTCTTTACCAACTTGGTATCACCCATTGCTGCGTCTGTGCACCATCCAGTGGTTAACTGACCTGTTACAATGTGTTGATACAGGGATGGGGTGGAGTATAAAATATGAAGTTTAGCTATGGTCAGTAGCCTTAAGTACAGCTATCGTAAGCTTTGAATATGAGTGATCATTTGATTTGTGTGCTTTAACGTTTCAGCGTAATATTGTAAAACAACAAAGAGTAGTTAAGTAGAGTCCCTGTACTCGGCCTTATGTAAGGGTTGGTGGTGTCATTCTGCTGTCCAAACTGAAACAGGGTTTAGACTTACACCGCAATAGTTGGCATTCTAGCTCTGGTTGTTACAATGTAGGTTCACAATGCTGAAATGTGAGTATATTAACTTAACTCTCTGGGCAGATTTTAAATAATTAGTCACACCTTAGTCTTGCTAGTGTTCACATCTCAAACCTGCTTCAAAACGTTTGACAGTCATGATAATCAGTTAATTTAATGTAGAAACAGCGAAATTCGAAGCTTCCGATCCAAAAATTGTTGGGAATCATCTGAACTGTAGTTCACATGAGCATTGGACACAATAGTCTCGGATTTTTCGCAAAATAAGGACTTGTATTTTATTTTTTATCAAAGAAAGACAGGATCTGGAGGTAGGCGGCTACTTTGGAGCTCTTATGTAGACTTCAACTGCTTGAACATAGAAACTACATGAATAAGAACTAAATCCGACTGAAAATAAATCCTGAGCACATTTACAAGATAGCTAACTTAAGGGTTATAGTAATTTGGTTTTAACGTGCGACTAGTTAACAAACTACAAAATCGACTAACATGTTAACTAGGCGACCCGAAGACCAGGGATTCCTCCCACTTAATGGTGCTGAGGGAATTGCTTCAACGGTTGCGATTCACGACCAGTAAAAAAGTAGAAGTTGCTATGACTTAATTACATGTGGAAAACGATATCCAACAGACTACTGTACACGGTGTTATAACGTTCACGTTTCTTATCTAGAGCGCATGAGCAGTTATCAAACTTCATTTACGGTTACTTTCAAATACTAAATGTTGAGGAGGATTGATACATTCAAGCAACCTCACTAAACTGTTCTGCTGACTTCAGATAAAAGTTTCCTTTGAAATAATCGTTCTGTAGACCTTTATCTGACTCCGATTATTGATCTCATTTAATTGTGCTTGTTTTCTCAGATATCCCATTTTGTAATAAGTTGATGTAACAACGCGAACTGTGTTGAGTCATATTTTTATCCAATAAATGTAAATAGGCATACAAACTATCAGTAAAAAAGGCGAATGCTAATGAATCGTGTGGTATGTAGGCCCTAATTTGCAGCTAAATTGTGTGATATTTGGATTGATCAGGAAATCAATTACCACGTTAATTAGTGGCTCAAGTTATGTAGCTATCTATTTAAAGCAGTAAATGGACAGGCACACATCTAAGAAATTTACAAATATAGGTCATAACTAAGTATAAGAAAGCATTGTATAATTATTAGTAGGATAAAAATGACATCTAATGGTCACATGATTGTCTGATCCTGTGTTTCTCCAAACAGGAATGGATTCGCGTAGCAATGAAAAATATGAGAGGTTACTACACCTCTATTAAAAACGTTTGGAGAATCGAAAGGAAATATTTGAAGCAATACATCCATTAGCTTTTAATAGGTTCGGTGATGCTCAAACAATCAAGCGTCGGGATATGCTGCAGTTGCGTCTCTAGTTTTTCACAAGTTTATCAATGACTCAACTTCTGTCCAGTTACTCATCAAAATTGGACAGGTAAATCTTCTGATATAGCGAGATATTGATTTACTGTCATTCATGGTCAGCCTTTTTCGATCAAATTGTCAACCTAAGTGCCAATGGTGAAAGCAAATATTTCAACGAGGAAATTGTACTTTCCTTTTTGACAATTTCATTTTCTAAAGCTATATATACTTGAAATAATTAGTATGACGAACGCGTTTTGTAGTTCACCGTTAATGTATACAATGAGTGGAGTTTGTGATATGTAAAACATATTATTCATGAATAAGTAAATGAAGTTCAGACTGACATATACTAAATTTTAAAGTCACAGTCAGTCAGTCAGTAACAACGTAGAACTTCGTACGTACGTACATCAGTTCGAGTTGCCACACCACATTAGCAGTAATCGGGAAGATTAGGGTTTGGAGATGTTATTTAAAGAGTATAATCCAATGAAAGAAATTTGGAAAGAGGAAAAAATGGACATGAAGACTTCAGAAGATTAGAATTTGGGAGAACACAGAGAGTGGATGCACCTGCGCCATTGCAAACGATTTTGAGCCATGTCATTCAGGGTCTCTAACCATCGGTTGCTGTCATCTCGCGGTCCCCAACCAGGTAGTCTACACCTACCAACATGACTCAGTTCACTTGTCAGTGACTTCATGGACTTATGCCATGTTTTGGTTTGGCCGCCCCTAGCTTTCTTCCAACCTACTCCTATACCACTGAACATAGCACGTCGAGGTAGTCGGTGGTTGGGCATACGTAACACGTGTCCCAGCCATCTCAACTGATGAAGTTTCACTACCTCATCAATTGATTTGCCATCCTTACCTAGTACCCGTTTCCTAACAACTGTTACTTACTCGATGGTCCCATGATATACGAGCAATGTTTGGAAGACACCTATGATCGAATACTAGTTGTTTATGGATATCCTCTACTCTTACCGGCCATGTTTCACTGCCATAAAGTAGGACAGAACGAACAGCTGCACAGTAGACTCGTCTTTTGGTTGGTAGACGGATATCTTACCTACGCCATAAATGACGCAAGTTGGCAAAAGCTAGTCGAGCCTTCTGTATCCGTGCTGAGATTTCGTCACACACTAAACCACAAGGGTTGATGAGACTTCCAAGATAAGTGAAGCGGTCGACACACTCAACTACTTCACTCCATATCACTAGTTCGGGTGTCGATGTAACCCAATCCTGAAGAAACATTTTGCATTTCGAGGGGGAGAATCGCATCCCGAACATGCTTGCATTGTTGCTTAGAGTGGTCAGAAGACTCTGCATTTTGTCAGCGTCTTCACCAAATAAAACTATGTCATCTGCATATTCTAAGTCAACAAGTGAACCTCCTGGTAGGAGTTCAACCCCTGTATATTTAGATGAGGAGAGTGTTATCTCTAAAAGTACGTCAATGACAAAGTTGAACAAGAATGGGGAGAGTGGACAGCCCTGACGAACACCACTTGAGGTGATCAATTCTGATGACAGTTCGCCATAAGCTCTCACTCTACCAGTTGTGTTCGAGTAGAGAGCCTTCATAAGGTTAATGTACTTCTTTGGTACTCCTTTCGGTGACAAACACTGCCATAGAACCTCACGATCAATAGAGTCGAATGCCGCTTTAAGGTCGAGAAATACTACCATTGTGGGGCGTCTGAATGTGTGTCTGTGTTCTAGAACCTGACGTAGTGTGAATATCTGATCTATACAACCACGTCCAGGTCGAAAACCAGCCTGGTTTTCTCTAGTCTGCTCTTCACGAGCTTTAGTTAGGCGTCGAAGTATTATTGAGGCTAATATTTTAGACACTATATTAGTCAAACTGATTCCTCTGTGATTGTGACAAGAGGACTTTTGTCCTTTCTTAAAAACTGGCACAATCAGTGATTGAGACCAGTCAGATGGGATTACGTCCAGTTCCCAAATTCTACCGAAGACCTCGGTTAATCTCATTGCTAATACTGGACCACCATCCTTAAAAATCTCAGGAGTAAACCTGTCAGGGCCTGCTGCTCTCCCTCGTTTCAGATTTCCTATGGCTTTTTCAACTTCGTAAAGGGACGGAGGACTTACATTAACTTGCCATTCAGGTTGACTGGAGATCGTGGGAAACCGAAGTGTGGCTGAAGGCCAATTGAACTGATCCCTAAAGTGTTCTGCCCATCGATCCAATCTCCTGGATTGAGAATGAATAATATGTCCATCTTTCTCTGAGATTGTTTCGCTAACGGTCGGGTTCCTAATTCCGGTTTCCTTAACGAGTCTAAACAATTGTCTGCTATTACCTATTGCCGCTGCCTTTTCCATCTCTCTTGCTTTCGCTACCCACCACTGTTCACGATCATTGCGTAGACTTCTTGTCAGCTTGCGCTTAAGCTGACTCCGCTCTTCATTATGTTCAGAGCCAGGTGGAATGTGTTTCCGAGCATTTATCAGTGAGATAGATCCTCCTGAGATCCAGTGTTGCTCCCTAACCTTCAGGTTTACCTTACTAGCAGATATCACTGCTGTTTCCACAGCTTTTCGGATATCATTCCATGCTGCCTCGGGGTGGGCATCACATACATGGCTGCCTAACTGTTTTCCTAGTTGTTCCTGAAATATACTCTTAGCTTGACTATCATTAAGTAGGGCCCTAAGGGGTTTCCTTGCAGGATCTTTCCTACGTCCAGTAAGACGCAAGCAAATACGCGCTCGCACTAGAGCATGATCTGAATCTAGGCATGTGCTCCAGAATGAGCGACAGTCTTCTATCGAGCCCCTCCATCGGTGGCTGATAGCGATGTGATCTATTTGGGTCCAACGTTGGGACGAATTAGGGGGTCGCCATGTTAAAAGATGTTTTTCCTTATGCTTAAAGTTAGTATTTGCAAGGAACAGGCGGTTATCTGAGCATAGCTGCAACAGACGGTCGCCATTATCTGTTCTTTGAGCCACGACACCATAGGATCCACCTAGGTGTCTTTCCTTATCGCTTAGTTTACCTACTTGAGCATTAAAGTCACCGGCCACTATTACTACATCCGAGCGCTTAGCTTTTCGGAGAAGGTCCGAAAGCTTTCTGTAAAACTCATCTTTTACATCATCTGAGCTGCAGTCAGTGGGAGAATAGGCAGAGACGACGAAGAGGCAACGACGAGTGTCCCTATCTTTCCGGATTCTTACTGTTCCGTTCAGTCGGACAGCGCACAAACGACTGTTTACTGGCATCCACTCTAAGAGAGCTAGTTCTGCCCTAGGACTCAATGCTATACCTACGCCGGCGAGGCCACGGGAAGCAGAATCAGGGCTTCCAGATACACGAAGCGTAAATCGAGTCGGTTCTTTATTTTGGCATGGTGAGGTCAAATGAATGACGCTACTTGGATCCTGTATGCGCGTTTCGGAGACGCAGCACACATCGATGGCGCGAGATTCTAAAGTTTTAGCTAAAGAAGCCTGCTGTCCTATTTGGCAAAGTGTTCGTACGTTAAAAGCTCCTACGTGTAGTTTAGAGCGTGGTTTCGGGAGACCAGGAATGGCGTTCCACGTACTCGAATCGTTTGCCCTAGCGGTGCGAGGTGATAAAGAGACGTGAGGAGGGTTAGTCGGGAGGATAAGAGAGGTATTAGGAGGTGTAGGAAGGATTTGAATGTGACCACCTTGGTCTCTTGTGCTGTTACGGGTATGAGGGCTGATGTCACTTCCCGGCTGCCCACACCGTGGAAGGGTATTTCTTGAGGAACCTGAAAAGGAAATTGGGTTAGTGTTGGTCTTGACGACCTGGGAGCGTGACCGCAGAGCCCAAGGGACAACTGCTTGAGGCCGGTCGCGCACGGCCTTTTTGTGGAAGGTTTTTGACGTGTTAGCTCCGTTCTTCAAGGGGCCTTACCGCCGGAGACGGAAATCCGTGAGGTAAGGTGAGGTGTGCATTTTTAGGGTCGACCTTTTCTAACCCCACCCCTCCTTGTGGGAAGGCAGCATCGCTGTCATGCTGGTTGTCCGAGGGAAACACCTTACTGCTGTCACACCTCTCTACAGTCAGCAGTACGACTTCGCCCTCAGACCTTGAGTTGCTGCTTTTAGTCTTACCGTTCGCCAATCGACCTGCCTGGCATGGTAGAACCTGCAGGAACATATGTTCCAGCCAATATAGCTCGGTTAGGTCATCACGATAGGCAAGCCCGACCACTGCGTCAAGGTAGCAGCTTCGATCGGGATAAAGTCACAACTACAAGATGAGGAGTTCTAATGGAATGAAGGTCACCATAAATAAGAGTAAGAACTGATTGAAGGTGGCCATATAACAATAATACAATGAGTGTTAGTGAAATATATTTAAATGTAAAAGGTTACAAAAAGATAACTATGAATTGAAGATAAGGAGGGTCACAAACATTAGTTGCTGAACACTACGAATACCGATTTTTTAAAAATTAGTTACAAAACGTTGGCAATTTAAAAGTAGAAAAACAAGCTATGACTTTAGATCTGTACACCTTTGTGATATATATTCGGAAATCATAGATGTTAGTTTCTAATGTACGCTAGGTGACTGGTCTGTAGAATTGAAAAGGCGAGGTATGTTTTCGTCTTATTTCAAAGCTGCCTCTATCAGCTTACTTTAACACATTTTTGCAAAAACTAGAGTTCATTTTTTCCTTTTATTTTGATCAGCGCTAACACGAATATGTAAGTACTTTTAGTGACCCAGAGACGCGCAGCAACGTTTGGCGCATAGCTAAAAATGCTGAAGTCTATCAAAACCGGCTCTCCTTACTAAAATTTAATCTTTATAAAGCTTTATATTGGCAAAGAAAATAAATCAATTGAATTTTGATATGTTATTTCAGCTAGTTCTTCCTCGCTTACTCCTTTCACAGCAGAAACAACTTCCAGAACTTGGACAAGGTTAGCAGGTTCATTGCGTCCTTTGACCATGTAGGATTCATCCCACGAATTATGCTTGCGATAAGTATGGTGTGTCTTAACAAAACGATATCCTAGGAAGGGAAAAAATTATATCAGTTCTACATTACCTGCATGAGTCCTTCTAATATCACACCAAGGAGCATCTGTTTCTAATAACAGCCGACCAAGCGGGATTTTCTGCACAACCTGCAAAGACAAAAAATCGAAATATACTCGACTACTATTACTAGCATCTATACAAATAATGCTACTCATTCTTCTTCAGGCATTAGGTTTTATCAGTACCTTTTTGGTGACTTCCGTCACTTGGAAATATAAATATGAAACATCCCTGAAGAAGTCACACCCAGTTCATCTGAACAACATAACTATGGAAACAGTAGCAGGTTACTGGTAAAAGCTGTCAGTCTTACCGACTGGGAGATAGTTAATACTTTATTGTTTGCTAAGTGACTGGAAAGTAAGGGACCTTCCACAACAGTCTTATCAGCGCTTGGTAGGCAGAGTATAATCTTGAAACCATTTAGTTCGTTTTACAGTTAACCAGTTGTGTAGTAAGCATGCCAGTTACCCAGGGTTCTTTTTAAAAAAAATTATTACTAACTACTGACGGCGCCTAACACATGACTGCAATTAAGCCCATGAAGTCAAAGATGCCTTATGTCCATCAAACGCCAAGAGTGAAAAATATTAGTGCGATCGGTTGTCGGCAGAATTAAAATTATTTTATTTTGTACCTTTTAATCGGCTGCGAACAGATTAAAATTAAAACTCAGAATAATTTTATAGAATAAAGTTTAACATCGAGACATTGATAACCTAATTTGCGACAGCAAAAACATAAGCAATCTAATATTCAGTAAATATCATAAACATAGACATCTATAGTAACTATATCACCAATAAAAGACGAGTAGGAGGCTCGAGAGTTCGGTAATACATGGTTTATCCTATAATTACTGTTCAGTAAGTCAGTCAGCTACAATGTAGGACCAAGCACATATGTGCATCGGTCCAAGTTGCCACACCTCATTAGCACAACAAGACGAACACTAAATTCACAGTAGTTCCTTCAATGTTTGTAATATATAAAAGAAAGATTGCATATAAGGATACAGTACAAGAACAGAGAATTAGTTCGTAGAAATAAAACAATTTTAATCTCACAGTTTAACGGAAGACAAAGAGTGTATACACCTACACCGTTGTGATCGATTCTGACCCATGTCACCAAGAGTCTCCAACCATTGGTTACGATAGTCGCGCAGACCCCAACCAAGTAGTCTGCATCTACCAACAAGGCTCAGACTAGAAGTCAGTGACTTCAAGGACTGATAACACGTTTCGGTTTGGCCGCCCTAACTTTTTTCGAACCGTCTCCAACACTAGTCAGCATTGCGGGTCGTGGTAATTGATGTTCAGGCATACACAACACGTGGCCCAGTCATCTCAATCGATGAAGATTCACAACCTCGTCAACTGATTTACCATCATTCCCTAGTACCTTGCGTCTAACTTGACTATTACTTATCCGGTGACCCCATGAGATGCTGGGAATATTTCTAAGACATCTGTGATCAAATACTAGTAACCCACGAGTATCTTCTACTCTTAATGGACACTTTTTGCAGTCATAATGTAGAACAGAAGGAACTGCGTGCAATATACTCGTCCTTTAATTGATAGACGGATATCTCGCTTTCGCCATAGGTGATGTAAGTTGGAGGAAGCCAAACGAGCTTTTCGAATCCGCGCTGAGATTTCGCCAGACACACACCCATTAGTGCGGATCAGACTTCCAAGATAAGTGAAGTTGTTAACGCGTTCGACTACTTCACTACCTATACGAAGTTCAGGTGTTGACGCACACCAGTCCTGAAGCAACAACTTGCATTCAGAGGGAGAGAAGCGCATTCCAAACATTCTGGTATTGTTGCTCAGTGCTACCAAAAAACTCTGCATTTTATCAGCGTTTTTACCAAATAGGACTATATCATCTGCGTATTCTAATTCGATAAGTGAACATCCTTGTAGGAGATCAACGCCCGAAAATTCAGTCGATGAGTTATTTCCATCAAAAAATCTAGATGAAGTCAAACAAAAATGAAGAAAGCGGACAGCCTTGACGGACACCACTCAAGGTTGCAAAAGCAGATGACAGTTCGCCATAAGCTCTGATTCGCCTAGTAGTGTTCGAGTAAAGAGCCTGAACAAGGTTTATGTACTTCTGAGGTACGCCTTTTAATGACAGACACTGCCACAGAACCTCTCGGTCTACAGAGTCAAATGCTGCCATTAAGTCAAGAAAGACCACCATTGTCGGACGCCGGTAAATGCCGCGTTCTAGACCCTGACGAATGGTGAATATGTGGTCGATGCAGCCACGACCAGATCTGAAGTCAGTCTGATTTTCTCGTGTCTGCAGTTCACAAGTCTTAGTTAGGCGCCCGATGATTATTGAGGCTAGTATTTTAGATGCTATATTAGTCAAACTAATCCTTCTATAGCTGTCACAGGATGATTATGAGCCTTCTTATACATTGCGACCAGTGAGATGGGATTACGTCCAACCCCCAGATTTTGGCTAAAATATTATTCAACCTAATCGCTAAAACTGGGTCACCATACTTAGAGACCTTTGGAGCTAATCCATTTGAACCAGCTTCCCTTCCTCGTTTCAGATTAGCTATAGCTTTTTGAACTACTTCAATGTTCCATTCATGCTGTTTGGGAATGGTGGGTAGTTGTAGAGTAAACGGAGTAAAAACTACTGATCACCATCAGAAATAAAATGTAAGTATACAGCAATAGTATGCAAATGAAGTTCTGTGTGATACATATTTTGACATCTTACTTCCAAATTACTTTGGTTCTTCAGACTGCAACCGTTGACACCAATATACAATCCCATATCAGTGAAACATTTGACCATTTCGTCTGTTCCATCAAATGAGTGCACAACACCTCGAAAAGGCTTGCCTTGAAAATATGACTGCTTAGCATTTTTGATCATTTGTAGAAAGTCATCGTGTGCAGCTCGACAGTGCAAAAATAGAGGTAACTTAACATCACTAGCTAACTTAAGTTGAATGTCAAAATATTCTTTCTGGATATCTTTTGGACAAAACTCTTCACTATAAATTAAAGTAAGAAAGCATTTGTGACTACCGGTCATAATCGAGACCACATTCACCTACAGCTACTACTTTTTTCGTCGTCAGAATTAGGTTTTCCAGTTTATTCAGGTAGTTATCTGGATCCTCGTGAAACTCCAAACATCTTGTAGGATGGCATCCAACTGTACAAAAGAGGTCCTTATCAGATTCACATAAGGATATAGCCTCAGCACTATCAGTGAGTGACCCTGGTTCCAGTTGATCGGAAACGTCAACTAATCTAACCTCCAGTTATAATTATTTTCTCCACACCACATTTCCTGGCTCGACATAAAACATTATGATAATCATTTTTATGCTGGAGTACGCCGCGGTAAACACCCATGAAGACTTTGTCAGTAAGATTAGCACCAATATCAACAAGCCGTCTCATAGAAATATAGACAATCGGTATTAGACCGTTTGAAAACTGCGATTTGAAAAACAAAAATTTGTAAATGATTACTTTAACGCAATTAGATAATTGGTGAAAAACACCACACTAAACAGTCCTCACAATGAAGTCCAGTAAATTTCAGATGACGGGTTGGATTCAATCCAAGGTCGACCTGGCGAAAATGTAGACAGAACAATATCCACACCTATGGTGGAGACTCGGCTCTATCTAAGCGATCTCGAGTCACTGACTGGTTGGAAATTGATTGCTACCACCAAATACGAATATTGAAGCAGCTTTTCTGAAACCATGTGCACCATTCAAACTGGCTGCCTTCAACGCCCTCACAATAATGCAGATCGGACAACAGATACGGTTGGCTATGTATTTAGAAAGTCTTAATATCGACGTGTGCTGTCTATCCGAGACCCATATTCAAGACTCTGGTGAATTACTACAAATTCGCTCTCCATTTGTCGCTTCAAAAGCTTGTTTTACGTGCGTTTATCCGGGGACCCTGTGGCATCTTCGTCTGGTCTTGCTGGCGTTGGTGTCGTACTAAGCGCTAGAGCTGAGGCAACACTAATCGATTGGATCCCCATTAACAGTCGGTTATGTGCTGTTAGATTAGAGAGTTCCATCAAAGTGAGAAGAAATCGGTGTGAGAAACGATATCTTTTCGTCATCTCCGCCTATGCCTCGACAGATTGCAGCCCGGATGCAATCAAGGATGAATTCCACCACCATTTATCTGTTCTTCTCCAGAATGTGCGTTCGATAGATATTGTAGTACTAGCCGGAGACTTGAATGCTCAGGCACAGAAGAGAATCGTTTAGGTGATCGACGGTACTTGTTGGTCACAGGGTAGATAACGGCGACCGTCTACTGCAACTGTGTACAGACCACAACCTGTTTCTTGCTATCACTAACTTCTGGCATATTCATCGCTTATATGCCACCTGGCGTCCTCCCTCTGCATCTCAAACCTGAACTTAGATTGATCACATCGAGATCAGCTATCGCTGGCGTGGTTGTGTACACGTCTGCCGATCCATTTGGAGTACTCATCGAAGCCCGTCGGTCTACTCCAGATGACCGTGAGTTTGGCTACAAACGAAGGATGTTACGTAATGAAATCGGGCAAAGCTTGCATAGGGATCGAGAAGCCTGATGGCCGGAGCGTGCTAATGGGCTAAAAGCAACAGCTGCATCTGGTAACTACCGGAAGCTCTTCTAACTCATCCGAGCCACTAGCAGCAAGAAGTCTGGTGTGAGAGAAACAATCTGCGAGGATGATGGGATACCAATCACTAACAACCATCGACGTTGTAGCGGTAAATAAATCCCCAAAATAAATAGCCCTAAGTTTTCGACATTGGATGCTGACCATATGTTTTAGTGGACTCATCTAGCTGAAGGCGCTAGGTCATGCATCCGCACCAGATCACGTGTGGTAAAGCCGTGCTCAACATCAACCGCAATCGCTAGCCAGATTAGATCAGAGAATTCCGATATATTGGTCATCGCCAAATATACTCTTCCGATCTCCCCGACTCTGTCTTTTGATTTCTCTGGGCGGGAACGAAATACATTAGAAGGTGTTACTGGTAGAAGCGTTGTCAAACACTGAATACCTGTGACATCATCATTGGTGAAACCGACGTGATCTGGTACACCTATTTGCAACTGTGAGTCTGTTCCTTTTTGGGATTTTTATATATCATTGCCTAATTTCTTATTCTTTTTTAAACATTGTGATTTTTTTTTCGTATTTTTTCTTGGATACACATATTTTTCCCCTCGTTCATTATCGTACTTCATATTTCATCATGACTGAACAGACACCTAAAGTACACAAGCTTAAAACCTTGTCCCCACCTTCGTTTCAACTGATGCCTTTCTGGCCCGACAACATCGAAGCCTGGTTTTGCTACGCAGAAGCCGACTTCTCCGAGCACGGCGTGATCGACACACGTGCACAATTCCTCGCAGTAGTCAAGGCACTACCGCACGAATTCAACAGGTACGTAACACCTAGTATGTTTACTAGTGATGTTTTCGATCCTTACGAAATCTTAAAACGCTCGATTCTTAAACGAGGAGATCTAACTGATCGACAAAGGTTAGATCAACTCTTCAATAACATATACCTGCAACACGGTTCTGCGACGGACATGTTGCAACGGATGAGAGAGGTTATAGGCCCAAGAACTTTCGACGTAGGTCTATTCAAACAACTCTTGTCAAAACTTCCCCAACAGGTGCAAGCAGTTCTGGTCTCGTTCCAGAACAACGCCTTAGACGAGCTAGCTGCATCTGCCGACCGCATTTTAGAAATTACGAAACCTTCTACTACCGAGGTATTTTCAGTCAAAGAAAAGCCTCACACGACTCAGAATGATATAACCGACTTATGTCACACACTCGCGCGTTATCTTAGTCTTCGTACCGACCGTAAGAGATCGCGCACACCACGTAGAAGCATTTCTCGTAAGCGATCTGTCTCTAGACCACGAGAGACAGATAACCCCGATTGGTGCTGGTATCATAACCGATATGGAAAGCTTTCCAGAAATTGCAGAAAACCCTGCAATTTTCCCAACACGAAACCGACTGATTCGAAAAGCAATTCGGGAAACTTCCAAGCCGGCACGCGTTAACGGCAACCGTAGCCGGCGAACAAAGCCGTCTGTTATTCGTCACAGATGTGACAACGAGAGTTCGCTACCTCGTCGACACTGGCGCAGAAGTTAGCGTTCTCCCAGCAAATCCTAACGACCGACTTCACGAATCGACCCTAAACTTACAGGCGGCAAACGGAAAACCGATCGCTACGTATGGCAAAAGGTACGTTTACCTTAACGTGGGTTTACGCAAACCCATCCACTGGATTTTCGTTGTTGCAGATGTTTCTATGCCAATCATTGGTATGGACCTTCTACAACACCACAATCTGATCATCGACACGCGCAAACGGAGGCTAGTAGACGGAAACACTAATTTGTCCGTTTGCGTAATTTCTTTTACTGGTTGTAGAGTATCCCCAGTCACAGTTAAACATATGATAGACCCACTCTATCAACCACTACTCGATAAGTACCCTGGGATACAACAAACTCAACCGAAACTACCGTGTGTAACCAGCAACGTTACACATCACATCACGACTACAGGACCACCTGTATTCTCTAAAGCACGACGACTAGCCCCCGGAAAGCTAAGGTTGGCGAAAAACGAGTTCGACCACATGATAGACTTAGGTATCATACGACCGTCAAACAGTCCATGGGCGTCTCCGTTGCACATGGTCCCTAAAAAGGACAGCAACGATTGGCGTCCAACTGGTGACTATCGGGGATTGAATGCGAAAACCATTCCCGATCGTTACCCGTTGCCTCACATTCACGATTTGACAGCTACCTTGAAAGGTAAAACCGTCTTTTCGAAAATCGACTTGGTTAAAGCGTATAACCAAATCCCTATGGCTACTGACGACATACCGAAAACAGCTATCATAACTCCTTTCGGACTCTATGAATTTTTGCGTATGCCTTTCGGTCTAAGGAATGCTGCTCAAACATTCCAAAGATTCATAGACGACGTTTTTCGAGGTCTCAACTTCGTACACGCGTATGTTGATGACTGTCTAATCGCAAGTCCGGACAGAGAAACACATCTCGAGCATTTGGATCTTGTTTTCGAACGACTTCAAAAACATGGCATAACTGTAAACGTTCAGAAATGCCAATTCGGAACCGACTCGTTAGACTTCCTAGGACACACTATCGATGCTCAAGGCATTCGACCCCTTAGAACCAAAGTGGCGGCCATTCTGGATTACCCAGAACCGACCACCGTCAAGCAATTACGCACGTTTAACGGTCTCGTAAGTTTCTATAGACGTTTCATACCGAAATGCGCATTACTCATGAAACCTCTAACCGACCAACTTCGTGGAAGTGCGAAATCCATTAATTTGGACGACACCGCACGAAAAGCATTCTCCACAGTTAAGGAACTGATTGCTAAAGCAACAATGCTCGCACATCAGGACACCCGAGCACCCATTAGCATCGCAGTAGACGCATCCGACTCGGCAATCGGAGGAGTCTTACAACAATGGGTTAACAACTCCTGGCAACCCTTGGCATTTTTCTCTAGAAGGTTGCTAGACACCGAATCGAGGTACAGCACATTCGGTAGGGAACTCCTAGCTATGTATTGTGCTGTACGGCATTTTCAACACTACATCGAAGGTCGTGAATTCACTCTTTTCACGGACCATAAACCGCTCACTTTCTCGTTAAGCTCTCCTTCTGACAAGTACTCTCCTCGTGAGTCTCGACAACTGGACTACATTTCGCAGTTTACTTCAGACATTCAACACATCTCTGGAGCAAACAATGTAGTTGCAGGCGCTTTATCTCGCATAACTTCCTTGAACAGTTTCCAAGGAATCGACCTTCTTAAACTCGCCGAGCTTCAAAAAGAAGACAGTGATCTTCAGCACGAGTTATCGTCCACAACACTTAAACTACGCATCAAACAGATGGGAACAGGTAAGGAAACCTTACTTTGTGACACATCTACAGGTAGGGATCGCCCAATCGTGCCGAAACATTATCGACGCAATGTCTTCAATACATTGCACAAACTTTCTCATCCAGGTGTTCGTGCAACCATCAAGCTTACAGCAGAAAGGTTTTGCTGGCCTGGAATGAATAAAGACGTGAGGGAGTGGGCACGCTCCTGTTTAAGCTGCCAAAAATCTAAGGTCATCAGACACAATAAATGTCCCTTAAGCTCGTTTAAAACTCCCGATGCTCGTTTCGACCATGTTCATCTGGATTTGGTAGGACCTCTACCAGATTCAAATGGATACTCTTACCTCTTAACCTGCGTAGACCGTTTCACTCGATGGCCAGAAGCAGTACCTATCAAGGACATCACTGCTGAAACAGTGGCCCGCACCTTCGTCGAACGATGGGTAGCAAACTTCGGTTGCCCTTCAACCATCACTACAGACCGCGGACGTCAGTTTGAATCTGATCTTTTCCGTCGTCTGACCACACTTTTAGGAATCACTCGCTTCCGAACGACCGCCTACCATCCCCAAGCAAACGGGTTGGTAGAACGTTTTCACCGACAACTGAAAGCTTCTCTATCAGCTGCAAACGTTTCACAGTGGACTGACGCTCTTCCACTCGTCTTACTAGGTATCCGCAATGCAGTGAAAGCTGACATTGAATACACTGCGGCTCAACTCGTTTATGGAACAACACTTCGACTTCCAGGAGAATTCGTGGATCCTTCATCC